CCATGCCTCACATAGGCCTGTAACCTCAGCACTGTCAGAGGCACAGATGAGATACCTGGAATTTGATGACAAGCCAGCCTAGCACTAAATTCCTGTCTTACAGGAATAAGGTAGAAAATAACAGAGCTGGATAACCAACACCCTCATCCTTTTGCCTTTATACATATGTGCACAGGCACATACTCCTGTATACACACATGTACATACACCAAACACATATATACTATAATCACACAGACACATACACATATACCACACATACATATATTACACACACATATACAACATTCATTATATACATACATACATATATATATATATATATTAAGCACTCACAGATCACAGACACCTACAAAGAATGAGCTTCCCCATTAATTTATTTTTTAACTATTTTTAAAATTTCATTTCATTTGAAATTTTAAGGTAATTCCAATAAGCACCAACTGATCTTTGACTTTCATTCTCGTTCTGATAATGAAGTATGGAGACTAGTCTTATTTTTTTCTAGAATTTTCAGGTGGGGATATTTGGAATTGTGCATAACATGGTTGGCAAGAGTGTTGGAATTAGGTTCTCTGATAAATACCCAGTTGACCCAAAGCTACAGTGTAAGAGGAGACTCGGTTACTACAGGAGGGATTCAACCATGCATGTAGGGAACTGTAGCACGAGCTCTCAGGAAACGGTGACAGCTGAAGCCAAGAATGTTGCAGTGTCTAGGGTTAAAGTGCTTAGGCTGGGCAGTGGTGATGCACACCTTTGAATCCCAGTACTGAGGAGGCGGAGGAAAGTAGATCTTAATGAGTTCGAGGCCAGCCTGGTCTACAGAATGAGTTCCAGGACAGCCAGGACTCTTTCACACACCCCTGTCTCAAAAATATAAACAAAACAAAGCAAAAACGAAAAAAAAGTATTGCTTAGTTAGGTCCAAGGCTGTACAAGCAATGACCCTTCTGCTATCTGAGGTGGGAAATGACCCACAGGTACCTGCTCTTGGTCTGATGACTTCAGTGACAGGGGTTAACTTTAGCACCCATGTGTGATCTGATGGTGTGCCATCATAGAACCGTAAGTCTGACACAGGGAGGGCATGGCCTTTTCATTGCTTGAAACTTATTACCCACAAGGGAGACTCGACAGAAACTTGTTAAATAAATAAGCCATCTGTGGCACCACAACATAAAACTGAACTTCAAAGGTCAGGACCATGCTAGATGCTAAGCGTATCATGTTATCCTTAATGAGATAGTCTCAGCAGGCAGAGGTTCATCACAAACAAGAAGCCACTACCCTTAAGATGCAAGTCCTTGTTCTCCAGCTATAACGGCAGCTCTAGAGAAAAGTGGTAGGACTAATATGAGAATCGGTACATGGCATTTTGGACTGTCTTATACATGGCTTCCTCTTTTTCATTAAGCTGGGTGGAAACAGCTCTGTGGGAGTGGGAAGCCATTTTTACTTTAATGTGGTGAATGTGATACAAACCATTTGTTATTGGGGAGGACTCTATCATTGACCCAAGTTAGTTCTTTGTGGAATCTGGCTGGGCTGTTTTCTGCATTTCCTTTAGCTCATTCTGTAATGGCTTCAGCAGAGCTCCTGTAGACTAAAGGCACATCAAGACACAGTTTTAAATCATAATTTAAAGTATATGAAAATGGCATTTGCTCAACAATATTCAGAGCAGCATTACTAATAATAGCCAGAACATGGGAAAAACCTAGATGCCCCTCTGCCGAAGAATGGATAAGGAAAATGTGATACATTTATTTATACAAATTTCATGATGACCTCATAAAATTTTCAGGTAAGTGGATGGAACCAGAATAAAAACATCCTGAGTGAGGTAACACAGACTCAGAAAGACAAACATGGCATGTACTCACTCATAAATGGATACTAGATGTAAAGCAAAAGATAACGCGACTAAAGTTCATAGCTACAGAGAAGCTATGTAACAAAGAGGACCGTGAGAGGATCACCCTGTGAAGAGAAATTAGATGACATCAACAGGGCAAGCTGGAAGAGGGAGGTAGGGAGGAGGGGAGGGGGATGAGGACCGGAGATAACGAGATAGACTAGGCGGGTCGGGATTCAGTGGAAGAGCAATGAAAGAGAAATCTTAATAGAGAGAGCCACTATGGGCTTAGGGAGAAACATGGTGCTTGGGTAACTCCCAGGAATCCATAAGGATCACCCCAGCTAAGACTCCTAGCAATAGTGGAGAGGATGCCCAAACTGCCCTACCCTTGTAATCGGATTGATGAATACCCCAACTATCACCATAGAGCCCTCATCCAGTAATAGATGGAACCACATGCAGAGATCCACAACCAAGCACCAGGCCCAGCTCCAGGAATGCAGGAAAAGAGCGGAAGGAGGGGACATAGCAGCAAGGGAGGCCAAGATCATGATGGAGAATTCTACAGCTGAATCAAGCTTGTGGAAACTCATGAACTCTAGATCTACAACTGTGGAGACTCCAGGGAACCGAACTAGGTCCTCCATATGTGGGAGACAGTTGTGAAGGTTGACTATCAGAGGGTTCCCTGGCAGTAGGACCATGGCACACAAGCTAGTTTGTTAGAGCCCACTCCCTATGGTGGGATGCCATGCTCAGTCTTAATGCACGGGAGAGGGATTGGCCTTGCCCCTACCTATTGTACCAACTATGTTGACTCCTCATGGGAACTCTTACCTATGAGGAGGAGTGGGCTGGGGTGGGCTAGAGGGGAGGTTATTGGGGTGGGAGGAAGGGTGGAAATGAGAACTATGGTTGGAATGCAAAATGAAATAAAAAAATTTTAATTCAAGGAAAGTCTATGCCAATATATGTGGTGACAGTGCCATTTGTGTTGTGTTTTTATTTGATAGGTTCTAGTTCCAAATTCTGAATATTCTCTACCTACACATTGGACTTTAAGAGCTTGTTGACCTATACCTCTCAAATTTAAATCTCAATGATCCCATCATCTGTACTGCATAAGGATTTTGACGACAGTAATAGCAGTGTCATGTTCTGATAGGTTCTGACTTTGAAGACTGTATAAAAAATGTTCATGTCAAATTCTTAGTACCCAACACTCAATGAGAATTTCAGGATTTTATAAGTTCTGCAGTTTTAAACAAAAGGATGGCTAAGGATTAATAGATATAAATTGCTTTTCATTTTAGAATATAAGTGAAATCTTAAGTGGGTGTAATTACAATCATCTCTAATAAGTAGAATTGTGTGTTCCTACATAGAAATCCTGACAGGATTGTAGTTTAAAATGTTTCCTTTCACTGTGGCTTCAGGGAAATGTTCTCATGAAATGAAAAAGTTATACTTCAGGCCAGCAGCACCGATTAAGAGAGCCTGAGAATGGAAACTCAGTGTGAGGAGCGAAGAGCAGGGAGAGACCGAGCTCTTGCAAATCATCCGGGGCATTGGGCATGCGCTCAGCACTGGCGCTCGTTAATAATTGTGGTTACCCATCCCCCACCCATCAAGCATGGCTATGATTGGGCAGTTGTCTTTTAATACTAGGACCCTTGGGGTTGTAGCAAGGTCATTTCTGTATGAACTGTTATCGAAGAACCTGATGCAACTATAGTTGCGGTAGTTTATAAATTTGAACTCTAAGGTATCATACATAAGATAAAAAAAGGGCATTATCAAAGGCTGTGCCCAGGAGCAGCCGAAGAGAAAGCGTAGCTCAGTTGCCTAAGGATAAATGTTTTGAATCACTAAATGCTGTTTGATGAAGAAACTGGTCTCCGGCCAGAGCCACAGGGCTAAGAGCTGAAACTGAAGACAGGTAGACAGCCAACCACGGGAAGGTGAAAACAGAACCCAGGCTAGCTGGATGAGCTAGCAGATAGACAATAGTTCTTCGCATCCACCGGCATTGCAGGCATTCCTTCAAGCTAAGAAGCAAGCCAGGGCACGAGCTGGAAGCCCACACTTGCTCAAAGTTTAAGAAGGAGCGTTTTGATCAATATCTCTCAGACATTCTACTGTGAGAACCTCTGATTCCTGTGTTTTCTTATTTACCCCTAGTCACTACTCAACAATAGTACAACCGCTCTCAAGTCCATATTTAACTCACATTCACATTCGCCTACATTTTTATTCCTTCATAGCCAATTCTAATTTTAAACATGAAGTAGGCAGGCTGGGTTTCTCTTTCCCACTTTACATATTTTACTGCCATTTGTTCCGATGCCGTCGGCATTCCAGCCAGAGTTGTATCCTCAGCAAGTATATACTTATGGTGGGAAACCTGCAGGCGCGAAATGTTTAATGGACAAGGGAAACGTCTTGTATCAATATACTGAATATCAGTAGCGTTGAAGTCTTCCTGAATATTTCATATTCATTGTCGTTGTTGTTGTGGTTGTTTATTTCTATTCTGAGTGGCAATGTAAGGAGAACATATAGCCAAACGTATCCGATTTTGAGCTCTGAATCTCCTACTCCTACACTCCTTGCCACTTTGAGCAAATGATTTAATTTCATACATCAATTTTGCATTCTAAACCTGAGGTGCAGGTGAATGCAGTACCAGTCGAGGCTAGAAGATGTCAGATCCCCTGAAGGTGAAGTTACAGGTTTCTGTGTGCTGCCCAGTGAAGGTGCTCAGAAGCGAGCCTGCTCCTCTGTAAGGGCGTAACACCTTCTCATCCACTGAGCCATTTCTGCCACTTTTGGAGGACTGCCAGCCAGAATGCGGTAAGAAAACGCTAGCGTAAGATATGCACTCAGATGTCACTTTCATTAGTCTTCTTATCACTGGTCATATTTTCCCATATTAACCAGACACTCCTCCTTGTTTAAAAGACACAGCTCCAAAAAGAACAGAATGTATGGAATGTCTGGGACGGAGCTGGAGCTTAGCGTTGCTTCCAGAAACCCGGCCATGTTAGGTGGTGGACTCTGAGCATGGCACTATCATGTTTAAAATTCCTTTAGTTAGACAATGTTACCACAAGAAACATTTCACAGAACTCTCACATAGTGGGCTTCAGATTAGCAATTTATTCAGAATGAAGTTATTATTGAATATACAATTTTGCACAGTTGCTAAATCCATTTCTACTCCAGTGATGTGTAAAGATTTGGACATCAGGTCATAGATCGCGATTGTATTCTTGGCATTCATTACATCTGATGTTTACTGCACTTCTGAAAATTTCTGAAGAACTCAGAATCAATTCTCCCAGAGAATTCAGATAAAAAAAATTCTGAGGATTTTGGGTACACCTTGACAGATTTGTACTTAACTCAGTTAATAGTGGAAACATTCTATAAATATATATATAAAATGAACTAGATGAACTAGGTGAGATGAAGAAACATTATTATCATTATTATTTATTACACCAATAAAAATGGTATAAAAAAGGCCAAACCAGAGCCCAAAGTTATGGTAGCATAAAAATGAGATTTCTCCATTGACATTCTAATTTAAATTGAAGAATTATTTTCAAAGAAGCATCTATTTTAATTTCACAATTTTAATGGTGCTGTAATTATTATTACTGTTAGTTTAGTGCATAAAATCCTTCAATTTAATCTCTGTGCAAACTGTTATGTAAGAAATTGAAACTCTTGTCATTCTAGATGATTCGATTATATTTGGTTAGTAAGGCTTTCCTGAAAGGAATTTTGTTTTCCTTTTTTGTTTAATTTGGTGTTTTGGAATTTTTAACTCTTGCCCTACATTTGTAAGCATTATTTACCTACATTCTTAGATTACTCTTTCCAGTAGATACATCAGATATGAACCACATACTACTGTTCACATGTATAAAACATTTGAAGTTCAATTTGAATTAGTTTAGACCCCTGAATTTCCATTTCTTGATACATAATCTACAGGATTGCAATTTCATTTAAATTACACCTACAATCTAGAGTAGGCTTTTTGATTGATACTAGGAGCATAATGTAGAGACAAATATTTATAGTAGTTTTGTCTCAGGGTTTTAGAAATCTCAGGCAAATATTTTAAATAGTAATGTCTAAAATTTCTACAACACTTCATTTATCAATCATCGCCACGAAGACTGCTATTCCATTTAAGTGGAATTCCACAGGGTAGATCCTTATCAAGTTAGCTGCTTTTGTTTTCCACTTTGGTCTCTCCCATAATGCAGCCCACGTTGATATCCTATGGGAACAAAAACACAAGGAGAATTTTGCTAATAATTTTTCAAACTTCAGTATCTTTACTCGATTGTGCATGGCCACCTTATTTTTCAAAGGGCCTTCTTTCTCTCAGCACTAGTCAGTCTTATAGATGATCATCGCAAATGGGAATTGTGCACAAAAATGTTGTACAATTATGTATGGTGAAGGAAACAAAAAATAAGTGGTAGCCCTCAAGACCACACTGTGACTTCCATGTGGCAGGCCCAAAGTATCTCACTGCTACCTTACCTCGTTCCAAACGCTTGGGTCGCTCAGCAGCAATTTCTGTTTCAATAACAGATGACCACATATTTCCAGAGCACTTGGCACTTGAACCCTTGAATGTCCTTCTGAATGGCTCTCGTTCAAAGACGGGGCAGCAGGGATGCGGGGAGACTGCTCTGCAAACTAGCTCGTCAGCTGATGGCTTCCTGCTGCTGTGACAAATTCTTGAGACAGTTTAGAGAAGAAAAGAGTTCATCAACGTTCACACTCTCAGATGTCCCCAGTCCATGTTTGCTTGGATCTGCTGCTTTCTGACACTGGAGGCAGAGCATTACTAGGGGGCGTATGTTGGGTCGAGAAGCTCACCTCATAGGGGAAGGAGGCAAAACACCCAGGAAGAAACTGAGGACAAGATTCACCTTCCCAGGTTACATCTCTACTTCCTCCAAACTGACCCAATCCCCTTTTTCAGTACCTCCCAATAATACCATCATACTGTGAACCATAAAAGCATTAATCTCAGGATTGGGCCACAGCCCTCAGAACCTGCTCATCTCCCACCGAAAATCCTTCAGCTAGCAACGGAGTCCCCAGTGGTGCATTTGACCACAGGGTACATTTTCTTACAAGTCATAGCGCTGCTGTTTTAAGGGGCGTGGCTGCACAGACACTGTCCATCTGGTGGTAATACTTTACCAGCTGTCCTTGGGGTTATTTCCTAACCAGTGACCCTTCTCTCTCTACATCACTCATCTGTGATGCTTGCCTCTTCCCTTATGATTATTTTTCTTCTAAGCTTTCTGTCCCTCGACACTTTACAAAACACAGCCTAAAGACAATGGAGAACCACTGACATAAAATAGGCATCAAAAATATACACTGATTTTCCAACTGCAATTGAAAAAAATCCAAGGGTCGGTCTAAGCTAGGTATATGTCAGCAAACAAAAGATGAGGAATAACTCATAAACCGTTCACTGTTTCCATCTCGGAGGGCAATCAGCCAGATTGCCTGACCCCCACCGTACCCCCTCCCCACAAACACACATTCTAAATCTCCACTTTCATATGAACGTTCTGTTCCATTTAAACTGATTCTTGGTTTGTTTGTTTGCTTTGGTACTGCTCTGTCCTTGTTTTAGTTTATTTTGTCATAGTGCTGGAGAATAAACTTGCATCTTCCATGAATTCAGCCTATGCTTCTTGTGAACTAGGTCCCAAGCCTCCATAAGCCAGGTCTTGGTAGCCCCCAAATATGGAGTAAAAGCTCTCATGGCATTTTTTTTCCAATCTGGTGTCAGAACCTGGTTCTTGGAATCTGCCTTTTAAGTCTTGAAGCAGAGAGAAAAACAGCACTGAATGTGTTCATTGTTTTGATTTAGAATCCAAGGACTAACACACTTAAAATTGGCTGAGAGGCTGCAGAAAACCCCAGTAACATCTCCCTATCATGGTTTCCCAGTGGGTGTTTGGTACAAGCGAGGCCTTCTGAATATCAGCCTAATCAGGTTATTACTGTTGGGTACATTTTAGTGGCAGAAAATTATAGTCATGGACCTCAGGGAGTTGTTCCAAAGTCAGAAAAGAAAACATTGCAGACCTTGGCTCAAAGCCAATTTGTCTGATCCCAGGAAGGAAAGTAGATCACTGTGTTGCCTCATCTTATTTTTATTGCAAGAAAGTTTCCATTTTTGAAAAGCAACTGGGCATTTCATAAAAGCTCCCTCTGACAAACTTTGCCCTCGATAATTGTCAAGGCCTTAGGATTCCAGGCTCTGTAGTCTTAAGGACATTTGCCCAATAAATTACCAACAGCTACAGAGGAAAGCTTCCCTGATACACAGCAGCTATTGACTTGGAAAAACAAGTTGAAGAAAAATGAGGAACCGTTGGAATTTCCAGCATTGGGATCTCATTCTTGCAAGATCTTTTGGGGCAATAATAGTTACTGGAGACATACTACAGACAGGAAAAAAAATACTGCTTGCAGTTGGTGTAGTCCAAATGATTGTAGGCCCAGTTTCTGCCCTCTGGTACAGAGCCCTGGTTTCTACCACATGTGTTTGAAGACTACCACATTAAATGCTTATTTAGCAGGTTAGGTAGACGTGGAAGGGAATGGTTGCTGCCCCTCTGTTTTGTGGGTAGGTTGAATAAGAAAGATGAATCACGAAAAGGTATAAGGCAGCTGAGTGACATACCAGAAGAAAAGAAAGACACTAGATTTTTTTTCTCAGAAATACTTTCTTGCCATGAAAAGAGCTGAGGAAGGTGGATTTTATGTCCATATATGACACAGCGATTTTCTTCAGTTTGCCACATCTCTCTAGTGCAATGCTGTCACAAGAATCTCTATAATAAGCCGCACGTTGGTGGCACACGCCTTTAATCCCAGCACTCGGGAGGCAGAGGCAGGCAGATCTCTGTGAGTTTGAGACCAGCCTGGACTACAGAGTGAGTTCCAGGACAAGGATCCAAAACAATACAGAGAAACCCTGGCTCGAAAAAAATACAAAAAAAAAAAACCCTCTGTAATAATGAGAAAAATATTTTTATTTGTCTAACAAAATATCAAATAGCTATATGCGGCATTTGAGGCCTTGAAAAGTAGCAGCTAATTTTTAATAATTTAATAAATTTGAATTGAAATAGCGTCCCACGGTTATTGGCCACTGTGTAGAGCAGTGCTTCAATAAACAGCGAGACATTTCTCAACCTTTCGTTCTTGCCAGTTTTAGTAAGTAACTGCTTGTGTTTTTGTTGCCGTGAGTAACCATAATATAATGCAGAATTCTGAGAAGCCTGAAACGAGTCATGGAGATACTTAGTGCCATTACATTAAAAACATCCCAGTGCCCCCCCCTGCTGCCCAAGTGTGAGGACCAGGGTTTGGGTCTCCAGAAATCTATTTGAATGCCTGATAAGGCATGCTGACCAGCCTGTATTTGCAGCCACAGAAGGAGACAGCAAACTGGGTAGCAAGACTTAGCAGACTAGACCTATCAACAAACTCTGAGTTTGATTGAGAAGTCTTGTCCCAATAAAGAAAATGGAAGTTCAGTCTAGGATGACTTCCAACATTAACTTCTGGCCTTCACATGCAAGTGCACACACCTGAGCACACACACACACACTGGAAATGGAAAAAGAGAAAGTAATTCCACAGGGGAAGGCCAAATGTCTCAGCAGATAAAGGCGCTTGCAACCAAACCTGATGACTTGAGTCCAGTACTTCGTGAGGGAGGGACTTCTGAGTTCTTCTGAGTTCCGCAGATACACATGACTCTCACATGCCCACACAGATACACATAGACACATGTGGGCATGCACACGCCCACACACAAACAATAAATGGAATAACTGTCAGGGACTCTGCAAATATACATGAATGATGTCTGTTGGAAGACACAAAGGAGAGGTTCACTTATGTAAACATGAAAGTCAGTTCTTCTTATGCCCTGGAAAAAAATGCGCTTTCTGGAAAAACCTCAGTGCATGACACAGACCTGCTTTCTAAGTGGTCACACACGTGACAGAAGAAAGCTGAAGGAATAATTGAGGCTTTGGAAAGCACGAACGTCTTCAGGCATATGAACATGAAGCTAATGTGTGACCTGTCGAGCCACATTAAACACCAGGCAGAGAAAGCCCTTAAACCCTCACCCACAATGCATTCCAATGCTTTGGTCCCACCAGGGGGGCGCCTGCTCAGCATACTGGTCTTCACCTCCACCATCGCCATTCAGCCCCCCGGAATAGTCCGCTGGTGTCTTCCATGTGGGTTAGAAGACCCCTGAGCCAAATGCTTTCTAAGTCTTTTTATTCTCTGACAATAAGTTCACCACGTGTCTGGAACAGTGAGGAGGGCGCTTTATTTCACCAAAATCGCGCTAAATCTTGGGGGTTTTGATATGCTTTATAGCTACTACAGACGTTCAAAGACGGAACCGTGATATTATCACATGCAACCCCTCTTTTCGCATGCAGACTGTTTACGCACTGTTTAGTGAGTAAATGATGCAGAGGTTCCTAACATGTTAAGAATCGGTGTATAACATCTTCTAGCGGAGAAGTTTCTAAGACCTTTGGGTATGTCTAAACCTCATCTTGTGCATTCATTTATTTTCATCTCAGATGAAACTTGGACGATATTTAAAGCCACAGTGAAAGTCTACGCCTGTCTGTTATAGATCCTTAGAGAACGACCATTGTTCAAGTTTGCTTCCTGTGGCTGGGAGCCAATCACTGACCGGAAGCAACACGGGATAGAACGTAGTTATTTCAGTCTACATTCCCACGTAACAGTCCATCGTTGACAGAAGTCAGAACAGGAACTCAAATAGGAATTGGAAGGCAAGAGCTGAAGCAGAGACCATAAAGGAATGCTGCTTACTGTGCTGCTCCCAGGCTCAGGTTCCACGATAAATAGATATATATATATATATAATCTCCCAGGTCCACCTGCTCAGGAGCAGTGCCGCCGCCCAGAGTGGGCTTAGCCCTCCAACAACCGACACAGTTCCCCACAGGCTAATCTGATGGAGGCAATTCCCTGATTCAAGGGGACTGTGTTCCAGGGTGACTCTAGTGTGGGTCAGGTTGACAGCTGGACCTATGATGCCCATTGAAATAAAATGCCCGTGGTGTGACTAATACTCGTCTAAGTTGCAACTCTGCTCCCATTTCCCTCTGTGTCTTCACACCCGTCTCTCTTCTCAGACCCAGAAGTCTCTTTCAGCAGTAACATACGGTAGGACAGTTCTCTTTGTGCGCACTCTGCTTCAGGACTATGAGCTCTCTTAATCGGTAACTTCATAACTTGTCAACAAGCAGAGAACTTTTATCCCTAACCTCTGCAATGTTTTCTTGTTTACATTTCTAGGTTTGTAAATTATTTATAAACTGCACCACTTGGTAATTATCACTAAGCTTATCAAACATACTTTTCAGTAGTCATTTTCTATGTTTTCTTTCAGGTGACTTCATAAATATATATATATATATATTCAGCTTTTCTTCTGAAGTGAATTCCTACTGTTGATTTTACCCAGTGAAGTTCTCTCCCGAGGTACTCAATTTTGCTTTTTATTCTCTTGTTAATATTTCTCAAATATCCTCAAGGTAATGGGAAATAGTTGTAATCAAAGTATTTGCACTGATGCTGCTGTCTCTTCCTTTCCAGAATGTTTCTGTTGAATGACATTTTTCTGGGTGAGCTATAAAGC